TTTAAAGAAAAAGTTGGCTAACCTCTGGTTAGAGGAAAAAAATGATAAGCTTAATTTTGTTAAATCTTATTGTTATATCCAAGTGGAGATATCATTATTTAACTAAATTTTTGAAGCTTAAAATCAGTGGAAAGGTCAAGGGTAGTAATATAGATTTGGGTATGTATATAAAAGAACCATGGGTACAGGGGATTGCAAGTGAGTAATAGACTGGAAGACAGACGGAAACCAAAAGAAAAAGGACACAGGACAAAAATAAAGGCTAGCAGAGACCAGTTACAAAAAGGCCTGTAATAAAAAAGGTCCAAGAAAACCTCTCACTATGGATTTGATCAATGGATTAATTTATAATGTGGTTTTAGGAAATTAAAAAAAATTAAAAGCACATACCTGCACTGTATTTTAAATGCAGTAATATCATTTACTGATAATTCTCATAAAAAATGAAAAGTTTCAAGTTTGGTGCACAGTGTCTCTGAAATTTGGTAGTAACAACTGTCACAGCTTTGTAGCTGAGAACTTTTAGATTTGCCCCACTCTCACCATGAACTCCACATGCCATAATCATCAGCTGACTTTATGAATTCAATACCTTGTTTCTGTATGCTTCTATCACTTTCATGACAAGTTGTATCTTTTTCCCCAAGTCGGTTAAAGCTTTTGGTCTCTCTTCATGTTCCATGTATCTCATTTGAATAGGCTGGCCATATTTCTGTGAACATAAGTAAATTTTTTTAAAAAGAAAAAGTTACTAACAGAAAAAACCTTTTAGCAGAAGACATTGAATATTATGTATATTATGTTTATTAATTAATTTAAAAATGTATACTGTATTATAAATGCAGTGCTTTAAAAATAAATTGTATTTTTTCAGAAAAAGAAAATCTTTGGACCCTGGAATGGGGAGTTTCTAACTGTTAAAATAGCCTATATAACATTCAGGAGAGGTATAATATAGAAGAATGAGTAACTATTTTCTTTCAAATTGTTTATATACTTAAATAAGAATCAGTTTACTTTAGATGTTCAGAAAAGTTACAAAGGAAATAAAAGACAGACACAAGCACTTCTTATCACTTTTCTCTAATGTTAAGATTTTATACCAGCACAGCGTATTAGTCAAAACGAAGAAACCAACTCTGGTACATTACTATTAATTGAAATTCAGACTTTATTCGGACTTCATCTTTTTCTGTTCCAGGATACCATATTGCATTTAGTATATACATCATACTTTTTATTATAAATATATCTGAAGAAGAAGCAGTACTGCATTTTAAATTTCTAAAAGCCATCTCAAAACAATAGTAAAGCCTATAAAAACTTATGTAGCACTCATTTTTATGGTTAATTATACATTTGAGGCAAAACATCCACTTGGGGTGCTTTTGGGCTTTTCCAGTTATTTTTATTAGCATTAGCTGCCTGGCCCAAAATACATGCATTCTCTTAGGGAGATAGGAAGTAAAATCACCAAGAAGATAAAATGTGATAAAGCCTTGTATTGCTGTCATAAGCTTGGGTTTACTAGTTGCTTTCTAATTATTCCCTTTGGAAGTAATTTATTGGCACGAAAGTAATTGTTGCAAGATATCAACTTCTTTTGCACCCCCATCCTCCAGTTAACAGGTTGCTTTTTCCCACATTCTAGAAATCCTTATTAATGCCATTATTTAGCTTCTATGCAGTCCCTTGCTACTCAGAGAATGATTTAGGGACCAACTGCATCAGAGTCTTTTAGAAGCTTGTTAAAACTGCAGAATCTTGGGCCTACCTCGATATACTGAATCATAATCTGCATTTCAGTAAGAGCCCTAGGTAATCCATGTACACATTTAAGCCCACTATGATCCACACTAAGAAGGAAAGACTAAAATTCCCTGTCATCCTTCCAGTCTGAGTTTCTAATCAAACTACTTTTTTTTCAGAAGGAGGGTTGGGTAGTAAGGAGGTGAAAAAGGATTACTAGTGGTCTTTTCTTAAAATCATACCATTGGCCTAGAAAAAGGGAATCTGGTGACCACGTCTCCTTATTTCTTTGTAAAAAGAAAATTTTTGAAGTTCTTTGCTGACCAAGTGTCCCCACAGTTGCAATGTGAAAATCAAACCAGTGAAGGGGGAGAGAAGCTGAGGAAGCGTGACTCCTCTAATAAGAAGGGGTCAGGTTGACAAATCACTTTTAATAAGACATTTCAGAAATATATGATTTGCCGAAACCGGTTTGGCTCAGTGGATAGAACGTCGGCCTGTGGACTGAAAGGTCCCAGGTTCGATTCCGGTCACGGGCATGTACCTGGGTTGCGGGCACATCCCCAGTAGGAGATGTGCAGGAGGCAGCTGATCGATGTTTCCCTCTCATCGATGTTTCTAACTCTCTATCTCTCTCCCTTCCTCTCTGTAAAAAATTAATAAAATATATTTTAAAAAAAAGAAATATATGGTTTGTTAAAGTAATACTAACATTCTGGTCATCTAAATATTTATATCTGAGTATCATAACAGACAAATATGATTATTATTTGATTTCAATTACATGTAGCATTGCTCACTTCTCAAAATGCTTTTTAAATGAGAAAGAACATTTCCTCTTACACGTCTGCCTTAGTAATTTCTTACATATTTATGAAAAAAAATACACCTTACAAACAATTTTTAGGAAAACTTAATAATGTTCTATTTTATACTAACGGGGACTTTAAAAAATTTACCTTTAGTTCTTGAAGCCTATCCACATAAACTTGTTTAGGTTGGTCCTCTCCTTCTTCATAAAGCCAATTTTCTGTCTCTTCCAATACTGCAGACAGTTTATTCAAGTCCTAGATAAACATTTAAAAGACAGTGACTAAAAATGCTTTCCTTAGAAATACAAGTTCAATGAAGGAATACTGTTTTCAAATATAGAAAACTGAATTTCATATTTTCTGACTTTTATTCATAAATGTTCTTCACCATATACTTCCACTAATTGGAAAAATAAGAACCATTCCTAAATGTGCTCAAGAAGATTGACAATAATGCATTTAACACATTTATTTATATAATTTGTATTAGCAGTCACCAGCAAATACTTAAGTAGTTCTAGTTAAAAACTGTAAAATTTATACTTGTTTTTTTCAGACTTTACCTGAGGATATGTTTTTTATTGATTTTTAGAGAGAGACAGAGGGAGGGAGGGAGAGGGGGAAGGAAAGATGAGCAAGAGAGAAAGAGAAACATAGATATAAAAGAAACATCAATTGGTTTGCTCCCATATATGCCATATTGGGAATAGAACCCCAAACCTCCTGGTGTAAGGAATTACAGTCCAACCTACTAGCCACCAGGCCAGAGCTAGACTTACTTCTTGAGTGATGAACTTTTCATAGACAGTGCCCAGCTTGTCTCTAAAATCATATACATATTCTTCAACAGCATTCTTAGCATCATTTCTCTCTTTCTCCAATTTATCTTGCATTATCATTTTCCCCTATTCAAAAAGTTTCAGATTAGTTGCCATTAAGAATATTAGGGAGTTAGGGATATGCAAATCAAAACCACAATGAAAATATCACTTCATACCTACTAAGATGACTAAGTAAAAAACAAAATTCTGGTGAAGATGTGCAGAATGTGATATACTTGTACACTGCTGTTGGAAATGTACATGCTGCTGCAGTGACAAAAAAAGTTTGGTGGTTCCTCAAATAACAATATGGCTCAGCAATTAGGTATATATCCAAAGTAGCAACTCAAACAGATATTTGTATGCCAGTGTTCACTGTAGTAGTATTCATAATAGCAAAAAGGTGGAAGTTGTCCACTAACAGACAAATGGATAAATAAATGTATATATACACAATGGAATATTATCCTACAACAGAAGTTCTGATACATGTTACAACATGGATAAACCTTGAAAATATCTAAGTGCAATAAGTCAGACACCAAAGAACAAATATTGTATTACTACATTTATATAATAAATATTGTATGATTACATTCATCTACAATAGGCCGATTTATAGAGACAGAAAGTGGATTAGAATTTTTATTTTATTATTTATTTATTTATTTATTTAAATATGTTTTTACTGATTAGAGAAGAAGGAAGAAGGAGAGAGAGACAGAAACGTCAATGATGAGGGAGAATCATTGATTGGCTGTCTCCTGCACAGCCCCATTGAGGACTGAGCCCGCAACCTGGGCATGTGCCCTTGACTGGAATGGAACCCGGGAGCCTTCTGTTCACAGGCTGATGCTCTATCCACTGAGCCAAACCAGCTAGGGCTAGAATTTATATTTTAAAAAAGCCACATAGACCATGTCATTGTACATACTCAGGTTCAAATTCTAGGTTTCCCATTTATTAGCATCGAGAAAAGTCACTTAACCTCTCAACCTCAGTTTTCTCATCCTAAAATACAGAGTATACTTCTATTTAGCTCATAGGGTTAATAAAATTGACAGAGTCCACATAAAATATTTAGTCCAGTGCCTGGCATGTAACTGATGCTGAAAAAATGTTAGCCCTGAGAGGAAATATAATATAATGGTTGTGATCTTGAGCTTTGTATACAGACTACCTGGATTTAAATTAAAGGTTACTCTCTTCCTTGAGTGATCTAGTCTACTTGCTCCTGTTTCCTCATCTGTAAAATGTAGCCTTCCAGCAGTACCTACATCATAGGGTTGTTCTGAGGATTAAATAGGATATCAACATGTTTAAGATGCTAGCAAAAATTAGTGCTGTTATAATCAAAAGCAAAAAAAAAAAAAATTGGGGGCTAGTATTACTTGAAGAAAAAAATTTCACTTTAATAAAAACACTTTTAAACAGAAGACTTCAGTGTACTGACATTTGTGAATTTAAAACAGTGAAACATTTAAAAACTTAAGGAACAATTTTATACGCAAAATTTGCCAGAATTGCACTTCCTCACAATCATTTCTTTGGGAAAATTAGTTTCAAAACACAAACTCTGAATTATTCAGGGTCTGCAGGAACGCTTGCTTCACATAAAATGCAGCCTTCAATAACTAATGCATAAGTGATATAGGTAGGTACTAAAAGGAGCAAGTACTGTAAAGTCAAAATCTTTTTTTTTAATTTATTTTTTATTAAATTTATTGCAGTGACATTGGTTAATAGTCAGAATCTCATGAAAAAATTCCTAGAATAATGTGCAGAAGATGGAAGAATATTGGGGCACTTCAAAGAAAACTGACCTTCTTTAATGCCAACCAAGCCTGCAGAAACTAGGAAACACTACTTAAGTGTAAATTTTAAAAATAAAAATAACGAGACCCGTGTGACTAGTCATTGAGCATCGGCCAATGAACCAGGAGGTCACGGTTCAATTCCCAGTCAGGGCACATGCCCAAGTTGTGGGCTCGATCCCTAGTGGGGGTGTGCAGGAGGCAGCCAATCAATGACTCTCTCTCATCATTGATGTTTTGGTTTTTTTCTCTCTCTCCCTCTCCCTTCCTCTCTGAAATAAAAATAAATAAATAAAAATAAATTACTTCTTATACAACTACTTATGTTAAAGAAACAAAACTCTAAAATTAAACAGTTAGACATGTAAGGAAAATTTCAAGAATGACAAGAGATTTTACAAAGTATTAATTTTAAGTCAGAAAGCATTCTGAATAGAGCATTAATCTTTTAGGACAACACATTAGAAGAGGGGAGCTGCTATTACTTCCCCATAAGGTATCTGCTGGGTGTTACTGTTAAAGAAAGAATAAAAGGAGTAGGAATCACTATTGTTAGACTAGTCTTCCTTTATAGTGGAAATAATCATGTTTCTCATATAACTAAGATGAAACTGTACTGTACATGACATTAATACAGATCAATATTTTGTCCAAAATAAAGTAGTTCAATGATCTATTTAATAATTTCTTAGGAGTTACAGACTAATTACCTCATTTGGGGGGATAACTGTTGACTTCTACAAAAATCTCAGAATACACTACTACCTATTTCAACATCAACTCGGATTTATATACCTCATTTTCAATGTAGCTATTGAGAAGATCTTGGCCCAATTGTCTACACAGGCTACTCTGGATAGGTAGATCAATACTCTTGACTCTTCCTTTTTTAATGGTCTGGTTTAATCGGTCTTGTTTGTCTGAGGGAGCTGTCTGAAAAAACAAAAAAACACAATAGAATAATAAAATAAATTTCTAAAGCTAGTTTAAAAATAGATTTAAGAGTAATTTCAGATGAAACAAGAAAGTAAAATCAAACAAAACTTATCAACTATATTTTAAAATACTACTTAAATGCTGATAGTATTTTATACTCTGCACATTAAGTCTTTTCACATAAAATATATTGGGCTGGAAATGCAAATTAAAACCACAATGAGATGCTACTTCACATCAATTGGGATGGCTATAATATAAAAAATGGAAAATGACAAGATTCGGTGAAGATGTGAAGAAACTGGAACCCTCATTCATTACTGACAAGATTGTAAATTAGAGCAATTCTGGAAAACAGGCAGTTTCTCAAAAAATAAACACAGAGATCCCATATATCCAGCAATTCCAGTCCTAGGTACATGCCCAAGCTAATCAATAGTTAGATAAAATGTGGTATGCATTCATACAATGCAGTATTATTCAGCTATACGAAGTACTGATACATCCAACAACCTGGAAAAACTTGAAAAACATTAGTGAAAGAAGCTGTCCAGAATAGGCAAATAGAAAGATTAATGGTTGCCTAGGACTGGCAGGAAGAAGGCTGCTTTCAGTTTTTTAAAAATATATTTTATTGATTTTTCACAGAGAAGAAGGTAGAGGGATAGAGAGTTAGAAACATCGATGAGAGAGAAACATGGATCAGCTGCCTCCTGCACACCTCCCACTGGGGATGTGCCCGCAACCAAGGTACATGCCCTTGACCGGAATCGAACCTGGGACCTTTCAGTCTGCAGGCTGATGCTCTATCCACTGAGCCAAACCAGCTAGGGCTGCTTTCAGTTTTATATCCTACATATAAGTGAAATCATATGGTTCTTGACTTTTTCTGTGTGACTTATCTTGCTTAGTATGAGAAAGACTGATGTCTTCGTAAAACAATGACTCTCGTTTATCCTTTATATTTTTATTTTAAAAAATATTTCTTTTTGCACAAAGAAAAATATTTTATAAAATGCAGCCAAATGCTTACAGTAGTTAACTTTGAGATGCAGTGTTACTGCTAATTTAAGTTTTCTTCATATAATTATTTTATTTTCTATTTTCTCTGAGATTGTTCGATTCCGGTTAGGGGCATGTACCTTGGTTGCAGGCACATACCCAGTAGGGAGCGTGCAGGAGGTAGCTGATTGATGTTTCTCTCTCATCGATGTTTCTAACTCACTATTCCTCTCCCTTCCTCTCTGTAAAAAATTAATAAAATATATTTTAAAAAAATCAAGTGTACTAGAGGCCCAGTGCATGACATTCATGCACTGAGGAGGCGGGGGGAGGGGGTGCCTCAGCCCGGCCTGCGCCCTCTCACAGTCTGGGAGTCCTCGCTCCTTACCACATGCCTACTCACTGCTCCTTACCGCTTGGCTCGCTGCTCTTTACCACTGCCGCAGATATGGGAGAGGCTCCCGACACCACTGCTGCAATCACCAGCCATGAGTCTGGCTTCTGGCTGAGCGGTGCTCTCCCTGTGGGAGCGCACTGACCACCATGAGGCAGCTCCTGTGTTGAGCATCTGCCCCCGTGGTGGTCAGTGTGCATCATAGTGACTGGTCGTTTTGCCATTTGGTCGATTTGCATATTAGCCTTTTATTATATAGGATTGGAGAACCAAGATGGTGGTGTAAACTTCGATGCCTCCCACAATCACATCAAAGTTACAACTAAAATACAGAACAACCATCATTAAGAACTGCCTGAAATCTGACTGAATGGAAGTCCTACAACTAGAGAAGTAAGAAGAGAGCACATTCTTTACTTCTCTCAGTAAAGAAAGACTGATAGGAGGGGCAGAGGAATAGAACAGGCTGGTCTGACAACCACCTGTGGCATTTATTTTTAATCAGGAGTAATATCTCCAAGGCCTCACATGAGAAGCAGGGGATCCCAGCTCCACACTAAACCCCCAGCCCAGGGTTCCAGAACTGGGAAGAGAAGTCCCCAAAACTTCAGGCTGTAAAAACCAATAGGGATTATGGCTGAGTGACATGGAGGCTGCTGGAGACCCAGATGTTCCTCTTGAAGGGCCCACACACAATCTTTCATAGTCCAGCTTCCTCTGAGCTCCAGTGCTGGGCAGAGGCTTTAGGGGAATCCAGGAACATATGAGGAGGAACTGGACTGTCAGATATCAGAGCAGGAACTTAGAGGTGGCTTTCTCACAGCCTGGGGTGCTCACAGGGTTCATGGTTCCCATGTTGGTAGCTCCCCTATGGCAGAGTGAACTGGCAACCATATCTGAGTTTCCATCAGCATGGCCCATACTGTTTTCTCTGCCCTGACGATTCCCTGAGATCTCGCCCCATCCAATATGCAGCCCCATGCAAGCTGTTTGCAGATACTTTTTTATATGAATGGCCTGTCCTGGCTCAGGCTTCAGACTTTGCTAAAATCTCTTAAAATAAGCAGCAGCTGGAGTCAGCCTGTCACAAACCTATCAATAATGGGCCCAAGACCCAGCACTAGCACCAACCTGCCTTGCTTCACAACTGGGCCTTGCCTAGGCACTTGCTAGCCCAATACAAGTAGCAGCAATCTGTAGATCTCTCTGTAGCTCCTGCTGGGAGGCCCCAGAGCCAGTGTGACCAATAGACAGCTTGATATACCAGTTTACAACTCTTCACATCCATAAGCGACACACTCAAAGGGAAGACTCAGTGAGCACCAACGCCCCACTGAAGCAAGTCCTGCTCCACAGGGTTGTCTCCTGCACAGTAGCTCTTCCACTGTAGTCGCAGCTGTTCCTCACAGACAATTGGCCTGTGGGTCAATTCCTCCCAGTGATGCCAAAAGCAGTCAAGGCTCAACTACAAGACTGTGCACAAAGCCCACACAGGGGCACACCTCAAGTGCCCAGCTCAGGTGCCTGGGGAGGCTGAGCCACTGGGCCCTGTAGGACACCTATTACACAGGGCCACCCTACCAATTCCGGGAGACATAACAGCTCTACCTAATACATAGAAACAAACACAGGGAAGCAGCCAATATGAGGAGACAAAGAAACAAGTTAAAATGAAAGAAATGGAAGCAAGCAATCTACTGGATACAAAGTTCAAAATAATGGTTATAACGTTACTCAAGGATCTTAATGAGAGCTTCAAGGGACTTAGTGAGCCTTTCATGGATCTTAGTGAGAATTTCAAAGACATTAAAAAGGACCAGTCAGAAATTAAGCATATACTAATTGAAATAAGAATTTATAGGATTTTAACAGTAGAGGATTCCGAGAATCAAAACAATGATTTGGAATATGAGAAAGCAAAAACATACTCAATCAGAAAAGCTAAAAGAAAAAGAATCCAAAAGTATGAAGATAGTGTAAGGAGCCTCTGGGACAACTTCAACCTTACCAACATTCGCATTATGGGAGTGCCAGAAGAAGAGTGAGAGCAAGATAGTGAAAACCTATTTGAAGAAATAATAATAGAAAACTTCCCCTACCTGGTGAAAGAAATAGACTTATAAGTCCAGGAAATGCCAAGACCCAAATAAGAGGAAGCCAAAGAGGCCACATCAAATAAGACACATCATAATTAAAATGCCAAGGTTTAAAGATAAAGAGAGATTCTCATAGCCAGTTGGCCTGGAGGTCAAATCCCCCTAGTATTAACTACAACAATCAAGGCTTAACTACAACAAGATTGCGCACAAAGACCAGCAGGGGGTGCACCAAGAAAGCATAAAAAATGCGGAGACAAAGAAACAGGACAATGGAGGATATTGAGTTCAGAACCACAATTTTAAGGTCTCTCAAGAACTGTCTAGAAGCTGCCGATAAAGTTATTGAGATCCTCGATGTTATGATAAAGAACCAACTAGAAATTAAGCATACACGGACTGAAATAACGAATATTATACAGACTCCCAACAGCAGACCAGAAGAGCGCAAGAATCAAGGCAAAGATTTGAAACGCGAAGAAGCAAAAAACACCCAACCAGAAAAGCAAAATGAAAAAAGAATCCGAAAATATGAAGATAGTGTAATGAGCCTCTGGGACAGCTTCAAGCATACCAACATCAGAATTATAGGGGTGCCAGAAGATGAGAGAGAGCAAGATACTGAAAACCTACTTGAAGAAATAATGACAGAAAACTTCCCCTACCTGGTGAAAGAAATAGACTTACAGGTCCAGGAAGCGTGGAGAACCCCAACCAAAAGGAATCCAAAGAGGACCACACCAAGACACATCATAATTAAAATACCAAGAGCAAAAGACAAAGAGAGAATCTTAAAAGAAGCAAAAGAAAAGCAGTTAGTTACCTATAAGGAGCACCAAATGACTATCAGCTTATTTCTCAAGAGAAACTTTGCAGGCCAGATGGTGTGGCAAGAAATATTCAAAGTGATGAATAGCAAAGACCTACAACCAAGATTACTCTACCCAGCAAAGTGATCATTTAGAATTGAAAGTCAGATAAAGAGATTCACAGATAAGAAAAAGCTAAAGGAATTCATCACACCAAACCAGTATTATATGAAATGTTGAAGGGTATTCTTTAAGGAGAAGAAGGAAAAAAGATAAAAAATATAAAAAATAAAATGGCAGTAAATACATATCTATCAATAATTGAGTCTAAATATCAAAATAAATGAACAAGAAATCAACAAGATAAATTGATGAATAAAATAGAACCAGAGGCATGGAAATATAAATCAATCTCAGAAGGAAGATAGGTATGGTGAGTGGGAAGAGATTAACCAAAGATATACATATATGTATTACTGATGGACATAGACAATAAGGTGGTGAAGGCTGGAATAGGGCAGGAACCGTATGGAGCGGGGGCAATGGGGGAATAATGGGGGACATCTGTAATACTCTCAACAATAAATATTTAAAAAATAAAAAAACCAAGTGTATTAAAAACATGCAATATAAAGAAAATACATAAACTTAGATTATTCAATCCCAAAAAGACACAACCATAGAAATAGTAAAACAAACCTTTGTTTTGGCTCCTGTGTGATCAATTTCCTCTTCAGGGGTGTGCTCAGCATGACATTTTGGATGACCTTCTTCTTGGTCAACCTGCATTTTATCCTGAAAAGAAAATAAGTAATTGATAGTATTTGTAGTGTCTATTTTTTTTTTTTTAATAAACAGCATCTTAGAGTTCAAGTCTGTTTTGAACTGTGTAAATAGTAAAATAGAAGCTTGTTTTCAATCATGAGAATAACTACAAGTAACAGGTAATTAAAATGAAAAGACCTATTTGATGCTGTGAATAAATCTTGTGTGATTCACCTGTGGTAAAAACACACACAAAATAAATGGAAAAATTTCAAGTCAAATTCATAAAAGCAAGCTTACAAACAAGAACAACAGCAAAAAACACCTATTAAATTTCACATGAAAAATGTCAATAAAGAATTTAATGTGGGAAAATAAAAAAGATACAAAATTTATGTACTTCATAAGTTCAATATTTTTAAATGTAACAAAATACTCAAGGAAATACAGCAAAATTGTCAAAGTGGATGTCTATGAATTATTATAACATAAACTTAAATTTTTTTTATGTCTAAAAGACAAACTTTCAACCAGTTAAGGCTGCCAAAATGGGCTCTCTATTTGGCAATAGTACTAAGTATTAGATTTTTCTGGTTTTAAAAATCTTATCCTTTACTGTCCTTTCAAAGAGAAGAAAGCTTAGGATTCAGGAATCAGTATAATTTAGGTCTTCTAATATATCTGGAGTTAAGCACATACAGGATAATCAGAAGGCTAGCTTTAATAAAAAAATAAGTTTATTTGTGCCAAAGACAAAAACAAGTTGTAAGTGTTCCTTTATAAAAGGACAATTATTTCTGACATATCAACTCGCCCTGCACCTTCTAACTGTACATTTTCTTCAACCCTGTGATTGAGAGGAGGTGAAAAAAGTAACATGGGTGCTATGGCTGGTTGCTCAGTGGTTAGAGCGTTCAGGAGGCAACCAATCAATGTTTCTCTGACACAGATCTCTCTCTTTCTCTCTCCACCCACTCTGAAAATAAATGGAAAAAATATCCTCAGGTGAGGATTAACAATAATTAAAAAAAGTGACAGTGGTGAGTTGATGTAATGTAGGAAAACACAATTTCATTATTTACTCCATTTTTTTGTAATACTAAGAAAAGATGCTGCCAATTAAAAGGCCAAAATGCTTTGTCATTTGGAATTTTTAAAAAATATTTTTATTGATTTCAGAGAGGAAGAGAGAGGGAGAGAGAGATAGAAACATCAATGATGAGAGAGAATCATTGATCAGCTGCCTCCTGCATGCTCCCTACTGGGGATCAAGCCCACAATCCTGGCATGTGCCCTTGACCAGAATCGAACCCGGGACCCCTCAGTCCCCAGGCCAACGCTCTATCCACTGAGCCAAACCAGCCAGGGCTCACTTGGCATTTTTGTTTTATACTTACTCAAAAAGCCCTTCTAAAAAAAAAAAAAACCCTTCTAGTGTGTATATATATTTATACATCTAAAGGCAAATTAACCAAATAAATTGGTTAAAGTAGTTCTAAAACTTGTTCACATTCAGAAGCCAATGCTTCTGAAAATCATTTAATTAACTTGTTAATGTATGTATTTTTCTACATAATAATGTCCTTTGTGCCATCAAGACCATTAGCAAGTGACCTATCATTTGTTTAAAAAATTGCTCCAGTGTAGGCCTTTAATATCTCTCTATACAAAAGCCTAAGTGACTGTTACCATCGAACAACTGGACCAACTGGTTGATGGGTTGCTATGATGTGCACTGACCACCAGGGGCAGACGCTCAATGCAGGAGCTGCCCCCTGGTGGTCAGTGCACTCCCACAGCCAACCTCCCTCAGCCTCCCCCTCCCCCCTCCCCGTTCCCTGCCTGCCAACCTCCCATGGCCCCTCCCCCCTGCTGTCCAGCCAACCTCCCACAGTCCCTCCCCCAGGGCCCCAATTGGGGGTGCCCGGCAGGCCAACCTCCCACCGTCCCTCCCTCTGGCGTTGCGGACGGGATGAGCGGGAGCGGCAGGCGGTGTTGAACTGCCAGGTATCAGCCCAGTCCCTGCAGGCCATGCCAAGGGACCCCCACCCGTGCATGAATTCATGCATCAGGCCTCTAGTACTCTATATTTAATGAGAGGAATTTAAACAGAATGTTACATACCACATCATCTTTGCTATCATCCTTAAATGACGTTTCTGTCTCCATAGGAACATCGCTGTGATCCCCTTCTATATTTTGCTTCTCAACTACTGATGCACTAGCCACACTGAAGATTCCATGGATGTTAATGCGAACTTTAACCTTCACTTTAGAACTATCACCATCAGACTGTGGAAAAACATTCTGAATAGTGAAGCTCCCTTAAAGAAAAAAAAGCTTTGATCAATACATGGGCCTCAGATTAACTCATTCAGTTCATTAAAGTCAGTAATTTGACTATCATCTTTCCAATGCTGGCAAATAATTGTAAAATTATTACCACATCCAGATTAACTACTGTGGGACAGGTATTTTCCCCAGATCATTTTTATACCTTAATAAATTTGGTATTAAGACTCAGAAAGAGTAAGTAACCCATCCAAAATCAACAATGCTAGAAAAAAGAGGAGTTGGGATTTTAACCAAGGACAATCTGACTCAAGGCAATATAACTTTTAAGTATGTTTTTAATGCTCTAAAACCAAAATAAAATTCAAATTTTTGAGTTTGAAAACCAAATATAAAATTACCCCTTTTTGCTACAAGCTATGCATATCATAATCATCTTGGTAATTCATAAATAAAATGACTTAAAATTTTCCTGCATTTTTCCTATAGCAAAATTGCTGTTATCCAGTCACTAATACCTACAGAGGTCATACTAATTTTTCAAGCACAGTTACAAAGAATATCTTTGTAGATAATCAGAGAAATTTGAATATGGACTGTATAGTAAACAGTATTATTCCAATGTTAAATTTCTTGGGTATGATAATGATGTCTTTATGTAAGAGAATGTTCTTCTTAGGAGACTTATGACATGTAATTAGTGGTGAGTTGTTGGGATATCTATACCTTACTTTCAAACTGTTTGTCAAAAAGTGTATGTATCTGTGATGTTAGCAACTGGATCTAGGTGAATGTATGGCGTTCACTAAATCAGTGGTCGCCAACCGGTGGTCCGCAGGCCACTGGTGGTCCATGAGGTCTGAAAGGTTGGCAACCACTGCACTAAACTAGTCCTTCAATTTCTTATAGCTCGGCAATTTTTCAAAACTAAAATGGTAGAGGGATAAAACATAAATGACGAAATATTCACCATCAAGTCATTAAATCAACATTTTGATATACAGAGATATTTATAGATCATGCAATTATTCTGAATTCTTTATAACTTAAGGCAAATGTAAAAATAAATATATAAGTACATTAAGGAGTAAATTATGTAAGTAGAAAAAAAAAAAGAAATCTAATGCTGCCCTGGCCAGGTGGCTCAATGGGTTGGAGCATCGTCCTGTATACCAGAGGAGGTTGCGGGTTGATTGCAGTCAAGGCATATACCTAGGTCAGTGGTCGGCAAACCGTGGCTCACAAGCACATGAGGCTCTTTGGCCCCTTGAGTGTGGCTCTTCCACAAAATACCGGCCCTTCTACAAAATACTGACTTCTGCGCATGGGCCATGAAGTTTCAATCGCACTGTTCGTGCGTTCCCGCATGATGTATTTTGTGGAAGGGCCACACTCAAAGGGCCAAAGAGCCGCATGTGGCTCCCGAGCCGCAGTTTGCTGACCACTGGCATAGGTAATTGGTGCTAAGGATCCCAACGTAGGTGGGATCTCCAGCCTGGGTGCTACTGTTATGAATCGTAATGTAAGTATCTGATATGCTATATGTGTTTTCCGATGGTTGTGACCCACAGGTTGAGAACCGCTGCTCTAGAATCAATAAAAACATATCCTCAGGTGAAGATTAAAAAAAAAAAAGAACTCTAATGTTAAAAAATCTCAAATAAGGATACCCATAGTAGAGAAGGAATAGTAGGTAGAAAAAATGAGTAGTAAACAATATGGTTGGCCTGTGTTGTGGGTTGAATTATGCCCCCTCCCTGCCCTTCATATATTGAAGTCCTACTCCCCAGGACCTCAGAAGGAGACCTGATTTAAAGATAAGGTCATCACAGAGGTTAATCAAGTTAAAATGAGGTTATCAGACTGGACTCTAATCCAATGACTGATACCTTTATTTGGAGACAGATATACAGAGAGAATATCATGTGAACATGGCTATCTACAAGCCAAGGAAAGAAGCCTAGAATGGATCCCTCCTTCATAGTCCTCAGAAGGAAGCAATCCTTCCAGCTCCTTGACTTCAGACTTTTAGCATCCAGAACTGTGAGACAAAATTCTATTGTTTAAGCCACCCAGTATGTGGTACTTTATTAAGAAACCCTAGCAAATGAATACCACGTTCAGTAATTAATATCTATGATTTAAATAATGTACTTGAAATATTTATAATGTTCCCTTTCTAGTCTGTCAATAAAAGCAATACATATAGAGAATTTTAAAACTTAAAAATTATTCTTTCTCTCTTTTTTTGTTGTTAATTCTCACCTGAGGATATTTTTTTTTCCATTGATTTTAAAAGAGTGGAAAGGAGGGGGGAAGGGGAGAGAGAAACATCGATGTGAGAGAGACATGTTGATTGGTTGCCTCCCACAGGCACCCAGATAGGGGCTGGGGATCAAACTCCCAACCCTGGTAAGTGCCCTTGACCGGAATTGAACCCGAGACCCTCTGGTGCACGGGCTGACACTTTAAACACTGAACCACGCTGGCCAGACCCCTTCTCTTTCAAATGATATAAAATCATGTGGTTTTTTTTGTATTTTTTAGGAAGATTACTCAACTAAAATGGATATTACAGTCTCCTATTCTCACTTTCATATCAATCTAATGATACTCATTCTATTTGCCACCAGTGAGCATAAGTTTAAAATCAGAATATATGCATAGTAAGTCTGGCAGTACAATTTCAATTTACTGATTAGACTTTTTCCATAAAAAATAATCCTTACCTAAGCCTTTTAGGCCAATTACAGAACACTTTAAATATAGATGTCAAAATGAATTGAAAATATTCAAGCTTTGCTGTTATTCCAGAAATCAACTCTGAACACTAACAAGTACATATTAGAAAAAAGTATGGAATATCTTTCTTTTAAAATCCAGTGCTGGCTTAGCTTAACTATCAACTTATTTGTTTCCTTAATTCAAATATTAACATATTATTTATAAAAATAAAAAATGCATGAGAACTTTCTCTTACCAATCCTTGGATCAGGATAAGGCACTTCATGTAAATTAGTATAAAATGCTTCTAGCTCAAATGGTTCCTTCTTGTGGAATGTAATGACCTTTGAGAATGGAGCAGGATGGTTCTTACAGAATACTTCACATTCCCTAACATGGAGCGAGAAAACACTCAGTTTAAAACAAATAGAAACTTGCCTATGAAAATAATTACAGAATCCACCTCATTTTTAATTCATAAGTAGCAATTATAAAGGCCTCTCTCCATGCACAAAGTATAGAAAAATAAATTGTTTGTACTATTAACCTGGATTTTGACAGGCTTATGGCTCAAAGATTTTAGAATGTCTGTCATCATAATAGTGCTACTAAAAAAAAAAAGTACCTGAGAATAGGTATATGTTAAGGCCAATACAGATAGATTTTTTAAAATTGTTTTTTGCTTACATCTGATGACCAAATCCTACCCATTAGTTTCCAAAATACTTTCATATGGCCTTTTTTTATTCTAGCTTCTTTAAAAAGGAACTTTTATTTGAAAAGAATTTCAAACTTATAGAATTGTGCAAGAATAAACAGAATAACACACACACACACACACACATATATATTTTAAATATGTTTTCATTGATTTCAGAGAGGAAGGGAGAGGAAGAGAGAGAGAAAAATATCAATGATGAGAGGGAATCATTGATTGGCTGCCTCCCACAAGCCCCCTACCGGGGACCGAGCTCACAACTCAGGCATGTGCCCTTGACCGGAATTGAACCCAGGACCCTTGAGTCTGCAGGCCAACGCTCTATACACTGAGCCAAACTGGCGAGGGCACTATATATATTTTTAACCTAGATTTGCTACTATTAACATTTTACCCCATTTGTTTCATAATTTGAGTGTACACACACTGTCAATGTATGTGTATATTTTTTTCTGAAACAATTGAGGCTGTTACATATATTTATGGCCATTTACTGTTAAATACATCACTGTGTTTTTCCTAATAGGGATATTCTCTAATATGACAACAGTACAACTGTCAACTTTATAAATTTACATTGACACTTTAATGTATAATCCATATTTCAATCTTTTAAATTGATGTAATAATGTCATTTATAGTATTTTCTTCTCTCCAGTACAGGCAATTTAAAAACCTACAAAGTAATTCCTATTCATTAAGTAGTATAACAGTTTTATAACTGTTGTTTACAGTGTCCCAGAAACACATTCTTCAATACATAGCATCATCCTATTAATTAGGCAAGGTTTAAAATTTTCACATTCATGGACCATTTCTCTGTCCTAGTATTCAAGAACCCAATACCTTCTATTTTCTTATTGTAGTCACTAAGATATATTTACTTTAAAATTTAACTTTGTATATATTTTCTTTCTTTTAAATCTATATTGTTGAGAGTATCACAAATAAACCCCTTTACCTCCTCATTACCCCCCTCCACCTGGTTCTGGCCCTGAGCTAAGTCTTCAACACCCTATTGTCTGTGTCCACAGGTAATGCATATCTCTATCTATCTATCTATCTATCTATCTATCTATCTATCTATCTATCTATCTATCTGTAAAAGGCTAAGGTCCAACCGTCCGACCAGCCAGTAGGTATGATGTGCACTGATCACCACGGGGCAGATGCTCAACACAGGAGCTGTCAAGCTGCGGTGACTTGGCAGCAACAGTTCTTGGGTGATGCACCCCAGAACCAGAGAGGAGAGATTCCAATTCCTTGTGGGGCCGCGCAATTCCACCTTTGGATGTGGGTTGTTGTTGCTGGCACCAAATCAGCTTTACTGTACATTTGTGTTCCACACCCTGTAAGACAGCAACTTTGCAGAGTACCCTCTCGTACTTCGAGACCCCTCGGGGGATGTCAGAGAGCTGGTTTTGGCCAGATCCCCGCAGGCCAGGCCAAGGGACCCCACCTGCTGGAGGGACCCCACTCACTCTACAGACGCCCTGCGAGCCATAGCACTGCTCCAGGTGTATTCGTCTGGGGAGGGACTGCGGGAGGTTGGCTCCAGGTTGTGTCCAGCCTGTCTCATCCAGTCTCACCCTGCCTGCCATCTCCTAATTACCTTTCAACGTGCACAAATCCATGCACCAGGTCACTAGTATGCATATAAGTTCTTTGGTTAATCTTTTCCTGCCCCTCCTCCCCTTTGCCTCTGAGATTTGTCAGTCTGTTCCATGTTTCCATGCCTCTGGTTCTATTTTATTCATCAGTTTATTTTGTTCATTAGATTCTTTGTTCATTTACTTTGATTTTTAGATTCAATTGCTGACATACATTTATTGCCATTTGATATTGTTCATATCTTTTATCTTCTTACTAACTGATTTTCTCTGTTTTTAAGATTCTTTCTTTGTCTTTATCCCTTGGTATTTTAATAATAATGTGTCTTGGTGTGGGCCTCCTTGGATTCCTTTTGTTTGGGGGCCTCTGTGCTTCCTGGACTTGTAAGTCTATTACTTTCACGAGGTAGGGGAATTATTGTCATTATTTCTTCAAATAGGTTTTCAATATCTTGCTCTCTCTCTTCTCCTTCTGGCACCCCCATAATTTGAATGTTGGTACACTTGAAATTGTCCCAGAGGCTCTTTATACTATCTTTTTATTTTTTATTGATTAAGAAATTACATATGTGTCCTTGTCCCCACGTTACCGTATATTTCTTTACATATGCATTGAAGATTCGCGATTTTGCGCTATCATGGTGCCTGTTAGAATGTTGAAGAGCTCGCACTTGCGCACTA